ATTTGAGGATAGATCAATTTTAAGGAGGATTTAAAAATATATATACAATTTGGATTAAAAAAATATGGTATATCCATACAATGGAATATTACTTAGCCATAAAGAGAAATGAAGTTCTGATAGATGCCATGACATGGATGAACCATGAAAACATTATACTGAATGAAATAAGCCAGACACAAAAGAACAAATATTATAAGACCCCACTTATATAAAATATCTAGAATAGGCAAAGGCATAGAGACCAAAGTTTATTAGAGGTTATCGGGGTAGGTAGGAAGGAGAAATAGGGAGGGATTGTTAAGGGTGATGGAAAACTCTGGAAATGGGTAGTAGTGATAATTATACAACATGGTGAACATAATGTCACTGAATTGTACATGTAAAAATGATTGAAATGGCAAATTTTGTGAATATTAAATTTTTATTTTATATGTTCAATATAAATTATTGAAACATTATAAATTATTGAAATTTTAATGTTCAATAAAAATTAAGACATATGTATACAGTTAGGAAAATGATGGACAGGGCACTCTAAGCTGGCCCAGACAGGAAGGGACAACAGGAGGGGCAGATGGAGAGTGAGAATGGAGTGGGCAGTGGATGAGAGGACTAGAAGCTGCATGGAAGTGATGAAGCCAAGGTGCTGGAACAGTCAAAGGGCATCTGTGAGTTGGAGGACCCAGAGGTAGCACAGATTAAGTGATGACAAGACTCAAAGTGTGATGGGGCAGTGGGTGGCTGAGGGCCCAGAGAAAATGAGCCCATCAAAAATCTGAGAGGCCAGGGTACTAGGCCATTTGCTAGAAGTTTTCTGTTCACCCCTGGAGCTCCACTCTGCATCCTTCTCAGCCCTGCTCTGTGCCTCAGAGGCTGGCCGTTAAGTCATGTACCAGTGGGCTTCCTTCTGTCTGGCTGGGAGGCACCCAGGAGCCTGGACAGTGGGAGGAGGGTGAGGACAGTATATCTATTCCCTGGTTCCTCTCCTCAGGGTCACTGCAGGTGGGCTGGTTTGTCCACGGGAAGCCACAGCTCCCTGTCTTACAACTCATCTCCCCAGCTCCAGCAAGTGCTCCCCACTTGCCCCACTGGCCTGCAATGGCAGAGCACCTGGTGGTTGCCAGGCCTGAAATCCTGCACTCTCCTCCCTGGGTTCCTTCCACGTTAAGGGTAATGGAAAAATTTGGAAATGAGTAATGGTGATGGTTGCATAATATGCTGAACACAATATCACTGAATTGTACCTGCGTAGAATGTTGGAATGGCAAATTTTTTTTTTATTTTTTATTGTACTTCAGATGAAGGCTTACAGAACAAATAGTTTCTCATGAAACAGTAGTACACATATTGTTTTATGACATTGTTTAACAACCCCACAACATGTCAACCCTCTCCCTTCTCGACCTGAAATGGCAAATGTTTTGTTACACATTTATTTATCACAATAAAACATTTTTTAAAAAATAATCTTTTTATTGAACTCTTTCCTCTATTAACCCTTTTGAGGGTGCCATCTCTTTCTTGCCTGGCAGGCGCAGGCCAATCATGGGTTGTGAAATCACTAAAAATGATGGCAGGACTAGGGGAGGAGAGAAAGGCGGAAAGCCAGTGCTAACTCCTAGGGAGGGTCTGTGTCTATAAGTTTAGAAAAAATGAAACCACCCCACATTGGTGTAGCTCATCTGTGAGCTCCTTTAAAACAAACCCTTGCCTAATTTTTTTGTGATTTTCTAGAGTTAGCGCAATACCTGTGTTATAGAAAGCATTTAAAAATTAAAATAAATTTAATTGAATAGGACTGAATTAAATTAAACAGAATTGAATTAAATTTTACTGAATAAATGAGACACTAAATTTGCACAATTTAAATATGGGTGTCTCCTCCCCCCTCCCCCCACCGGCATATGGTTTTTAGAAGCTTCATGAACATCGTATAATAAATTAGATCAGGGATTGAGTTTCTGAAGTGAATAATGAATAATAAATGTTTGCTTATATTAGTATCTCATGAGGAAAGATGTGGTTATGAAAATTTCATGATAAATTCAGAACCCCTTAAGCTTTCAGGATCCACTTTCTTGATACTGTGAGCATTGTTGCTCTTGGAAAACTTTGCTTACGTCTCCAACACAAAAGGCGCAGAAGGCGACTTAGGGAACTTTCAGAACACGTGATTATTCTTTTGAAAATAATGTTGATAGACACATATCTGTTACATTTGTTTGCATCATAATATTGAGTAGAAACAAAGCATAAAACCATTTTTGAATTTGAGTTTTAATCCATCTAAAATACTGTGTGTTAAAAGTCCCTGTAACAATATGAGTTCAATCTTTTCTGGCATCACACAGTGATTGCTGTCCTCAAAAAGGGAATTCTAGAGATAGTTAAGGTCCCTGGGAGGCACAGATGGTTTGCTCTTGGCTACTAACTGAAAGGTTGGTGGTTCAAACCCACCCAGGGGTGCTACAGAAGAAAGGCCTAGAGGCCTGCTTCTATGACGGTCACAGCAAAGAAAACCCTGTGGGGCACAGTTCCACTCTGTGACACATGGGGTTACTATGAGTCGGAGTCAAATTGCTGGCAACAGGTTTCGAGAAAGCTGACTAAGGGGAAAAACACAAAGTAAATTTGACTCAGTTTGCATTTGGTCTTTTTTCTTTTATTTTTGGCTGGGATGAGGGAGGGATGTTTCTTCTCTTTTTTTTCCCCCAGTCACTGAACACCTAGTAGTCTGATCCTGTCCCTGTGTCTCCCATTGTCTGTATGTATATGCAGTTGCATTTAAAAGTACCTATTAGTTCAAAAGCATTTCAAGTCAAGCTGAAGATTGGACCTTTCAGGCTAAATCAAAGACAATGACTAATTTGGGGGTTACTGGAATCACTTATTCAATTTATTTATATCCTATAATAAGAAAGAGCCCGGTGGTGCAGTGGTTAAGCGTTCGGCTGCTAATTAAAAGGCCGGCAGTTCGAATCCACCAGCTGCTCTTTAGAAACCCTATGGGACAGTTTTACCCTGTCCTATAGGGTCCCTGAGAGTCAGAATCGACTCAAAGGCAATAGGTTTTATGGGTTATAATAAGAAAAGTAGTTTTAAAGCAAAAGACATTGTTAACATGTATAAATAAAAAAATTCTCGTTTTCCTAACACAATAAAAGTTATTACTGCCAATATTGATTTGGAATAGCCCCTATCACAGAAAATCTAGAGCTAATACCTCAGCTGTTTTAACATGACAAATGAAGCAACAGTCCAGAGCCAAACATTATCCCTCTACCCTGATTACCCACCCCAGAAATGCTCTCAGTTGGCCATCAGAAGAGCAAGTCTCTCTGACTTTGCTATCTCATTGCTTGGTCCAGGCTAGAATGCTCTTCAGGATTGCTGTACCTCCTCTGCTACCTCCTGTGAATTAGTCGAAGCTGCCTAGAGGCTGAATCAGGATGCTGTGGTGGGTGTGCAACTAGTGATATCTGCTGCCACGGGCTAGGTGGGAGGAATAGTAGGACTCATGACGTGGCTGTGCTATTAGCTGCCATCAGTTGGCCCTGGACTCATGGTGACCCCCTCCCCATCACTGGTTTGGGATAGAGCCATTGTGACCCATAGAGTTTTCACTGAATAATTTTTGGAAGTAGATTGCCAGGCCTTTCTTCCTAGTCCATCCTAGTCCAGAAGCTCTGCTGAAACCTGTCCAGCATCATAGCAACATATAAGCCTCCACTGATAGACGGGTGGTGGCTGTGCATGAGGTACATTGACCAGGAATCAAACCCAGGTCTTCCACATGGAAGGCAAGAATTCTACCTCTGAGCCACCACTGCCCCCTGACATGGTCAAAAAAGCAAAATGTGCTGTCAGAATATCAAAGTCAGAGTCTCAACTCCGCCTCTTATTAGCTGTGTAATATTCTTGGGCAAATTATTCATTCGACAAGTTCAGTTCTTAAATTTATATACTGAGGATAATGAAAATTAAAATGAATTGCTATAACACATAAAAGATACTCAGTAAACTATAAAGTGCCCTTTACATCTTAGTTATTGCTGGTTGGTTGGTTTTTGGCCGATCGCGATCTAGTGTTTCCCTCCTTTAAACTCATGGTAATTTAGTATTTCTGTCACTGTCTCGGCAATTAATTGCAGACTACCTAGTGTGTCATATTACTGCATTATTTCACCATATTTTACCTTTCTGTACCTCCCACTCTTTGTAGCCCATGCTTCTCCTGTTGTAGGCGATCTGTAAGTATCTGTTTATTGGGTGAATGTAAACATATTAATAATAGTATTTTTTAAAACTCCAAATGTAGACAGGCAGATGAGTAGTAACTTTTTATTTGAAGGGATATGTTTTATCATGATTATTAATTTATGTTCATAGGATTCATAGATTTTTACAGGATTTATCAAGTGACAGGCCCTGTCCATAAGGACCCCTGGTGGCGCAGTGGTTAAGCATTCGGCTGCTAACTTAAAGGTCAGCAGTGTTTGTTTCTGTTTTTTTTTTTAATTATTGTACTTTAGATGAAGGTTTACAGAGAAAACTAGCTTCTCATTAAACAATTAGTACACATATTGTTTTGTGACATTGGTTACCAACCCCACAATATGTCCACACTCTCCTTTTCAAAGGTCAGTGGTTTGAACCCACCATCCGTTCCATGGGAGAAAGATGTGGCAGTCTGCTTCTGTAAAGATTTACAGCCTTGGAAACCCTATGGGGCAGTTCTGTCCTATAGGTCACTATGAGTCAGAATCGACTTGACAGCAATAGGTTTAAGCCCTGGCCATAGCATCGAGCCAAATGGAATCAGCGTCCAGCTCTCTCTCTGCTATGTAATGCTTTTAAATCCAGCTCTCTCAAGAGTTGATTCTGCTTCCATGTAAATAATTTCTTCAAGCTCTCAGCTTTCTGCTTGTCCCTGCAAGAACAGTGTCACTGCTGCCAAGTTATATAAATGTACTTGTCTCTTCTCTTTGTGGTGACAGGCGCACCTCATCGTCCTGAATAAATACCCCTCTCAAGAGGAGGCAGCCAACTCCGCACACATTGTGGCCCAGGCCGCCGTTGCTTCTGGGAGGCCCGAGCATCACGGTGAGAACCAGCCTTCCAAGGGGGAGGTTCCTGCTTGCTACCTGCACCTGTGAGCTAGCTGCCTTCCTGTGGGGAGGGTGGACAAAGCTGTCCCCTGTGCCCTTCTGAGAGCCTTTGTTGGTTTGTCCAATCCTCTGCAGCTGTGTCCCTGTTTATATTCTTATACAGTCTTCCTCCAATCTTCTACTTTTAAATGTAGGCAATCCCTGGATTACGAACGAGTTCCGTTCCTAAATCTGTCTTTAAGTCAAATTTGTATGTAAGCCAGAACAGTATCCAATATCAGTTAATCAAATGTTTGTCTTAGTATATAGTATAGAGTGTACCTTTCTATGCATAAAAACATTAAAGAAACACTTCCAGATACACTAAAACATCTTTAACGCAATAATACAGTAATAATAGTGATAATGTTTTGATGTTCATCACAAAGTAATGCCTGTTCGTTATTACAAACCATTGTATGTACCTCAAATTTTTAATATAATAGGCTTTACAGGGGTTGGTTCGTAACTACAGGTTGTACGTAAGTCAGATGTTTGTTACCCGGGGACTGCCTGTACATCTAATCTTCATCCAAACATAGCTCTTAAGAGTCCCAGAGAGTTCGTGCTAGCTTACAGGCAAATCTGTTCTGCTTTCAAAGGTGATCTATTTTTAAAGATTGTTGTGGTGCTACTGTGGCAACAGAGCTGTCATGTTAGAACACCACCCCAGATTCTCACCGGGCCAAGCTTTCAATCAGGGTGAACTTACACCTTTTCAGGATCCCAAAAGGAAGTTTCCATTTATGAGTCATATGGTTTTTCTTAGCACAACATAATAGGTAGAGCAGTGAACTAGGAATTCCTTAATCCACCACCCTGGGCTCAGGGCATACAATATGCCTCAATATAATACAGGAGGCACCCATCTAAATGGAGAACACACATTTAATGACCTTTTTTGGTCAGAATATTCAGAAACAGAGTATAACTCATAAAGAAGAGCTAGGGGGTGTATTCTAATGTGTCAGATAAAAATACTTATGTACTGAGTAGAATGAGGTCTGATGTTCCAGAAAGCATAAAATGGGTATCTGGAAAGCTTGGGACTTGGGTTCAGGAGGCAGGAAGTGGGCCAAGAAGAGGCCCGTTGGAGAAGCTGAATGGGGTCTCCATGAGCAAAATGTTCTGCAGAGATCCCCGGGCCAGACTGGGTGCTCAGTGCAGGGACAAGCTGGCGAAGGGGTTACCAGTGTTCGTCCATCTGTCCATCCCACCTTGTAGATGCGTCATTCTGGCCTCCTGGAGCTGTGAGCACTGAGAGCTGGAGCAGCCCGTCTAGGGATGGACAGAGGAGGCAGGGGACATTTCTAGTCCTCCCTCTCTGGAATACTTCACACATAATAATCAGGTTTACCTTCAAAAGCTTTTCAAAAAAACAACATTTTGACCAGTGTTTTGGTGCCTAAAATTCTTTTATTAGGGAGAAAGAATCTTCCATTCCACAGCTATTAACAAAACACTGAAAATGCATGCTTGAAGGAAACCCGGAATAGCAGGAGATGCCCATCTAAATGTCTACATAAACCAAACAGGCAACGTGAGTGAAGCAGGCAGTTATTAGAAAACAGTAGCAGCAGCAAGAATAATTATACATGGCAGCTAACTGCTGGCTGCAGTATGAGAAAGGCAATACAGAGTGGTAGGGACTGTGGCAGACTGGAGAACCCATACCCTGTTGAAAGTGGGCAGCTGAAGTTCAGCTCCAGCCATTGCTGCCATGCGGAGTGGAGACTTAGATGGACAGAGCTGCTACTTTTTCAAGAGAAGGCAGAAATCTTGGTTTTTATGTGAAATCTCCAATTTATAAGTGATAATAACCAACTCAGATTGGCTAGATTCATAATTCCTGACCTGAAGAGCAGGAGTGTGAATGCAGAGTTATCAGATCCTTCCTTGTTTTTCACTGGAGCATGTAGGCTAAGGCAACTGGAGGGTTCTGAGCCTTTAAACTGGGGGTGTGGCAGGGGGAGGGGATTCCCTAGGTAATTCCAAACAGGAAGCTGCAGCTAAGGCCAGAGGACATCTTTGCCTAGAGGGATTTGGGTTTGCCGGCATCTTTGCTAGTGCTCCTGCACACACTTGTTGAATACATGAACTGGGTTGGGACCGCCAGAAATTGTGTCCTAAAATGTTTTTGTCCCATAGCTATAAAGTTAGGCCACTCTGCTTTGCATGATTCGTAGAATCAGAGACAATCCAAGCTGAATTATACAATAAAAAAGTTTCCCAGTCTAAGTATTGCCTCCCCTGTAAAATATGATGGTAATAGTATCTGCTTGATACAGGTGTTGTGAGAATTAAATCACCTCATGCAGTAATAATAGCTAATGCTTACAATCATGTGTACTGGTGTGGTTCTAACCGCATTGCATTTATTAACTCAGTTGACCCTCACAACAACCCAATGAGGTCGGTGCAATTGTCCCCGTTTTTTAGATGGAGAAACTGAGGCCCAGACAGTTTAGGTAATTTGCCCAGGTCCCATAGCCAGTGAGTTGCAGAGATTTGAGCCCAGGCAGCCTGGCCCCAGAGGCTCCTGACTGCTGTACTACATTACAGGGACTGGCACTATAATGTAGTGCCCTCCTTCCTCACCCCTTGGGCCTTAGACCCACCAGAGAGTCTGTGGCGTTTGGGATAGACAAGGGATATGAAAGAGCGAAGGGAGCCCAGAGAGAAGAGTTTGGAGGGCCAGTGGGAAGGGTCCAGCAGCCTGAGCCTGCACAGAGTCTCGGCTCACCTCTGCCTGTGTCTCTTGAGCAGCTCAGGGCATTGGGTGACCTGCACCCAGGATGCAGACCTGCCAGTCAGAGTTTGAAATGTGCGAGGAGCTCAGAGGTGGAAGGATATGAAGAAAACTTCTCCCAAGAGCAGGGAGCTGGCACCAGTGCAATCGGCTTTACAGATTAGGATGGGGGTGGCTTCTGCATGAGGCCTGGAGGGTTGATTGCTCGAAACAGGCCACAGGTGATCTAGGGACTCTGGCGCCAGCAGGAATCACAGTAATAATAACAACAGCAGTTATAATAGCAGCGGCCGTGCTCCTCCTACATGCCAGGTACTGCTAGGTGTTGGTACTTTCACAAACACAGCTCATTTAATCCTTTAACAACTCTTGGAGGCAGGACATGGCTCCCGTTTTACAGATGAAGTGACACAGCCAGCTCTTTATCCTGGGAAGTACGAGGCCGAGCTAGAGAACCTTCTCACTCCATATTCATCACTCTATCCACAAAAGACAAAGTCCCTATTTGTCTATAACTTGCTCCTATAGAGGCCTTCTCAGATTCAGCATCTTCCAGTCATAAGACACGTGAAATGTCTGTAACTTTAATGATTTAGGGACAAAGCTTACTGAAGCTGTAAACGCACCTATATGCTAAGTGAGGAGGTTTCACACTGAGGCAATAGGATAGAAAAAAGTGCTTATTATCCAGTAGTAACATGAAGCCCTAGGACAGGTGCATTCCAGCACCAGTGGCTGTCAAATCAACTTCAGCTCATGGCAACCCCTTGTGTGCCAGAGTAGAACTGCGCTCCACAGGGTTTTCAATGGCTGATTTTTCAGAAGTAGATTACCAGGCTTATCTTCCAAGGTGCCTCTGAGTGGACTTGAACCTCCAACCTTTCAGTTAGTAGCCAAGTGTATGAACAGTTTGCAACACCCAGGGACTCTAAGGGAGCACAAACCCTCACTCTTTGAGCCTCAAACAAATTACCTAAATGGACAAGTCAGAAACGAATAAAAACAAGGAGAAACACAAAACATCCATATCATGTTCATCTCATGTGCTGTTGGAATCATGTCTCCCTCAGTGGCAAACGGGGAAAATGAGCTACCTGGACCAGCAGCTGAGATCCAGGTTGTGGCCCAGCCCTTCTTGCAGATGTACTGTGTGTGTGGTGTGGGCAGAGTGGGCTACGTCATGGGTGTGGGTTGGGTTTTCCCCAGGGAGCAGGGTCCAGATGGGCCCCCAGTCAGAAGCTGTGGGGAGCCCGGGCAGGGCATGCCCACCATCTCTCAGGGTAGCAGGGTCTCATGTTGTCTCTCTGTTACCCTACCATGTGCCAGGTCCACAGTGGGAGTGAGAAAAACCACCCAGGGTGACATTTCTCCAGGCATCTGCTGACTCCTGCAGGGGGAAGTGACAGTGGGGGAAGTTAGATCTTATCTTTATCTAACAACTAAGAGCTTATCATCTGTCTGTTCTACTGTGGTGGCCTGCATGTTGCTGTGATGCTGGAAGCTATGACGCTGGTATTTCAAATACCACCAGGGCCACCTATGGTGGGCAGGTTTCAGTGGATCTTCCAGACTAAGACAGACTAGGAAGAAAGGCCTGGTGATCTACTTCCAAAAATTAGCCAATGAAAATCTTATGGATCACAACAGAACATTGTCTGACTTGCTTGCTTTGGCTACATCATCAGGAGGGATCAGTTGCTGGAGAAGGACCTCATGTTTGGTGAAATAGAGGACCAGCGAGGGTGAGGGAGACCCTTGATAAAATGGTTTGGCACAATAGCTGCAACGATGGGCTGGAACATGCTGGCAATCATGAGAATGATGTAGGACCAGGCAATATTTTTGGTCTGTTGTACATAAAGTCGCCATAAGTCGGAGTCATCTCAAAGGCAACTGTCTATCTGCCTACCTGCCTACCTACCTACCTACCTACCTACCTACCTGCCTACCTGCCTACCTACCTACCTACCTACCTACCTACCTACCTACCTACCTGCCTACCTGCCTGCCTGCCTGTCTGTCTGTCATCTATCTATCCATCCATCCATCCATCATATATCTATCTAATAAGAGGAGACCAAACCCTTAGTGCATCTACACCCCACCACAGCTCTCCTGCACACAGGACCTTGTGACTTGGGCTTTGGTCCGTTCCAGTCTGGAAGTCCCAGGCAGGTTCCCTGGGAGCAAATCTGCATGTTCCACCG